GCTTAAACTCTCTTTTATTAACTGACTGTAATGTAAATAATCCTATCGGATGATAAGAACAGCTGCATAATTGTGATTTTTCATTTAAACAGAAAATTTATAGACATGGGTTTTGTTGATGAAAAAAGAATAGCAATTTGGGGCTGGGTAAGTACTTCCTGTTTTGAGTATTTCTATATTTATCTTTCTTAATCTTACTGCAGTCAGTGTTTTCTAAACTTCTTCCTTGTTTGCTCTAAAGATACTTCTCTAAACTTTTTTCATAGTAAAAATTAAAATCCTTTGAGATGCCTATGCTGATTTTCAGGAAGGCATGAGCTGAATTTTGGGTAGCTTTCAGATGTACATATGGTTTTAGATTGAAACCAGGCAAAATTCAGAAGATTCTGTTGGATTCACTGTTAATAATGGGGTTTGTTTGAATATGTTACTCACATCAAAATTCAACAAGTGTGAACCATTGACTTTGGCATCATCCTGAATTCCTGTACTTCCTGATTTTTCTCTGGCCTTGCAATTGTTCATGGAGTTGTACTTCAGAGAAAATAAAGTGATCCAAACCTCTTTCCCAAACTACAATGTGTTCTTTTACCGAACTGCACATTCTGAGGCCCAGGGGGTTCCAAGCAGAGATGAGCAAACTGCTTTGGAGGAGATAAGAATCAGGCCAGACCATCAGCCTGAACTTGAATCAAACCCAAGCCTTTTGAGGTTTGGAAAAGGTTCTTTAGATTCATTTGACTTCTCCTTTGTTCTTTGCTTTTCCTGATTGGGCTTGGGACCAGTGAAATACACATGGAAAGTTATTCTCACTGTATTTCTATGGCTGTTGAAACCGGGACTCACTGGGGGTTTTACATAGCTGCTTGTTATATTATGCTTCAACATTAAAGGTTCAGACCTCCCTTTAAACCAATCTCCTATTGGTCATCCTTACTTACATTGAGTAGTGTCTTAGGTGAGAATCAGACTTCTGGAGCAGAATCTTGCTTTAACAGAAGAGAAGGAAACAGTTATAATTATTATCTTTCCTCTGCTTACCATTCAATCTTCAAGCTAAGAGCCTGGTATTGAAAGTAGTGCTTAAGAGTAAAGAATGAGCAGTGGCTCAACACTAAAGAGATTGCAGTAAACTAGAACAGACTAAACTGGGATGTTAGCTACCAATTAATTGATTCTTTCCAATGTTTTGCTGTTTATAGATGCCCATTGTTCTCTTATTATCTTTCAAAAAGGGCTACAATTTCATGCTCTTTAAACAGATTGTCTTTCTGCCAGAATTCTTCCAGTCCGTCATTATTTAATTTCCCCCTCTTGGCCCTGTCTTCTCATCAGAAGCTTACCCAGAACCATGTTACTTACTGGAGATAACGTGCAGATTGAGTTGAACAGTAGCAAATGAAAATGGCTGATATTAGATGAAATGTGAACGAAGTTGCTAACAGCTTTGTATGAAGTTTATATTATCTAATATTTTAGCTACTGTGTTCAAGCACCAATATAAAATACCTAGATACAATTCAGCACAGTAAAAGTGAGTAAATTATACCTCTTTTTATGATAGGTAATTCTGATATATACTGAATTTTGGGGAAGGGACAAATCCTTAAGTTCCTGAACTGAAAACATTTGATTTTTTAATCAAGATGCATTTTATTTAAATAAATAAAATGACAAATTTCTCATATACTGATGGAGACAAAATGCAGGAAGTCATACCTTTTATTGGATCACTTTCTGTTGGTGAAATGAGACGAGCGTTCACATTTTCAGAGAGCTCTTCTGTAAGCTCAAAAGTTATTTCTTTCAGCAACAAAAGTTAGCCCAATAAGGGTATGTCTACACTACCCTCCTATTTCGAAATAGGAGGGTAATGTAGGCATACCGCAATTACAAATGAACCCCGGGATTTGAATTTCCCGGGCTTCATTGGCATAAGCCGGGCCCCGCCATTTTTAAATCCCAGCTAGTTCGAACCCCATGCCGCGTGTAGCCACGCGGCACGGGGTTCGAACCAGCCGGGATTTAAAAATGGCAGCGCTCGGCTTATGCAAATGAAGCCAGGGAAATTCAAAACCTGGGCTTCATTTGCAATTGCGGTATGCCTACATTACCCTGCTAGTTCGAACTAGCGAGGTAGTGTAGACATACCCTAAGATATTAGCTCTTCTACCTTATTTCTCTAATACTGTATTCTTGGACCAACAAAGCTACAACACTGCAGCCATAAAAATGATTATATTTGACTGGTCTAATATGTCATCATCCATCATTAGATGTATTCTTCAGGTAATGGAACCATTGCATAAGCTGTCAGTCTTTATATTTTAGGCAGGAATCTGTCATTTTCCCACTCAGGACATCCAAAAGGTGCTAGTGGTCCAATATATTTCAGTAGAGTTGAAAATGCAATCCTCTTTTGTGCCTAATAGTCCTATTCATAGTCTGTTTGTGTTGGCAGTTATGCTGTAAGCTGTTCACTTTTTCAGGCTCACAATAGCCCAATAATCTTTCTATATCTGGTTCCTTATTTTATGACCCTGCTATGCTGATTTCTGATATGGATAAATTCTCCTCAAGTTAGCTGGAAAATGATTGCAAAAGTTCTTTGCTATTGCTTTATTTGTTGCTTCTAGTTATCCCTCACTGTCATTTAAAATTGGATACTACTTAGAAGGGTATGGAGAGTTGCTTTATTTTGGCACACAATATGATTAAACCCATTCATCTCTAAGCTTCCCTTTATATTTTGAACAAAGAGGATGAGAATGCTCATTTGCCAGATTCTCAACAAGCCTCGTTAGCCCCTTCTCCCCTTTCCTGGCTTCTGTCACTCCTCCTCCACCTCCTCCTCCAAAAAGAATGAAAATCCTCTTTTATCTTCACAAGTCATTCATGCAAGCACTCATGCTCTCAGGCAATGTCTACACTACAATGTTTTTTTGGAAAAAGGTACGCAGTTTGCGTACCTTTTTCTGATACTTTTGTCGGAAGAGGGTTTTCTGAAATTTGGAAAAACCTCCTCTTTTGGAAGATCCCTTCTTCCTTGTGGAACAAGGAAGACAGGGCTTCCGAAAGAGCACGTCTACTCTTCCGCAAAATAAAGTGGAAGAGCAAACGTGTTCCCTGGATACAACGTAGTTTTTCCAGGATACCTCCAGTATCCCCAACCCCCCACCCACCATCTAGAGGTACCCTCAGTCACACACTTCCTTACCAAGCAGACCAAATGTGGCACACTTAGAATCAATTGCTCTCAGATGCCAGCCCCACCTCTTTGCATAGAACCTTTCTGAAGTCCAGGCTAATTCTTCCCCTTGCCTCCTCTCAAAATATGAACTGAGAGTCAGGCCAGGAATCATCCCCAGGAGGGAGGCTGAGGAATTCCTTACTCCATCCAACAATTTTGGCAGCTGATCCTGAAGCACGGGTGGGTTTCTGGAACAGAAAGCTATAAAATCATGTGGACTGACCATCATGTGTTCAATTATGTGTTGCAGTTCAATGAGTAAAGGTAGTCAGTACTAAGGCATCAGACTCCAAGCTGTTTTATATGGCTATTATCCAGAATGGGTAGGAATGGTGTCCCTAGCCTCTGTTTCTCTGGAGGTGGGTGACAGGGGAGGGATCATGTGAGGATTACCTATTGTGATCCCTCCCTCTGGGGCATCTGATATTGGCCAATGTCTGCAGACAGGATACTGAGCTAGATGGACTTTTGGTCTGACCCAGTATGGCCATTCCTATGTCCTTATGATAGGATGCCAAGCATAACTCAGCTTTCTGACTTTTCTAATCTTTAACATCCAGAGATTGGAATCATTCTGTTTTTAGAAGCCTTGAGGCTGAATGAAACTTGAGGCTGAATGAAATGGAATATGAATGATATGGGGTCAGATCCTGGCCCAAATTAAGGTCTCTTTTTTCCAATCTTGAGTGAAGTAAAAATAATACTCAATGATTATTTACCTTCCCATCCTCAAAATTCCCATAAGAGCACCTGGATCTGAAAGGTGCTAAATACCTCATGATTAAACACTTAATGTGGTAGAAACAATGCAAAACAAATCACATAGTAACATCCTGATAAATTAAAAGCGTTCTATTTTCTTCCTCTGATTGTTAGTTTTTTTAATGAGTTGCAAAAATATTTTCCTCACCCTTGCAGAAAGAATCCAAAAATATTGAAGAAATCGTATCAGAATTATATATAGGGATAGCCAAAGGTAGTGTTTTCTCTTTACGGCCAAAAAACCATACATTTCAAATAAGTCAGGTTTTCTAGTTAGTACAACTTATTTAAATTTTTCAGTCTAAATTGTTTTTTAAGGGAAATAGGGTTTTGACTGACATTTTGGTGAAAATATGTTCTTCCATGAAAAATTTCCACTTTTTCTTGGAAAAACAAACACAACCAGAAAAAAAATCTATTTTTAAAAATGTTGAAAATATTTTGTGGTAATATTCTGTGGGTTGGCTTCCTTAGTTAGACTATATCTGCTTTGATGCCCTACCATCAGAATGCACAATAGAGACTCAGCAAGAAGAGAGGCACTGGTACATTATGGGAGATGTAGTCTGGCCGGATAGGATCATATGGCCATGAGCATGTGGTTCCTATGAGGTACTGCAGCAGCATTTCCAAATCAAAATGTTTGGTTTGCAGCTGAATTTTTTTGCTTTTCTGATGGAAATGTTTGGATTGGGATTTTTTTTGCTGAGAAGTCTAACTTTCCCATGGAAAATTTTGACTACAGTATTTTTTTTCTATTTCTATCAACATTTTCTGCTAGGAAAGAATTGTTCCAACCAGCTCTACCAAGCAATCATGCAGCACATGGATATTGTTAAGGCATTTAACTAAAGCCTGACCTTTCCCTGGAGTACTGTGGTCTGCTTTAAAGCCAACACCCATAGCCTTCCATAGCTTGCTGTCCATGAGCTCACATATTAGGCTGATTCATTATAGTAATTTTTGGCTGAAAAATTTCATTTTTGGCTAGGTAATTCAGTAAGTGAGGAATATTGGGATTTGTCCAAAGGCACAGTCCCAGATGAAGCAGTAACATAGACAGCAGAGAAGAGGTGAAGTGATTAGATAGAATTGTCTTTCCTTTTGTTCCTCACAAAGAGTCAGCCAGACTCAGTTCATGCTGGTGAAGGTAAAGTCTCTAGCTGCTTTGCCCCAATGTTATTAAAGCAAATGTTTCCTTTGATTGTAATGTTTTGTGACTTGAATTCTCAGAGAACAAAGTGATAGTTAACTGCACAGTATTAACTTGCCTGTAATTTCTCTCTAGTCTTATGGTGGATATGTAACTTCTCTGGCACTTGGATCTGGCAGTGGAGTATTTAAATGTGGCATGGCAGTGGCTCCTGTCTCCAGCTGGGAATATTACGGTATAGAAACATTTAATAAACACTGACTCAGAAAGCATGACGTTATTGCAAAAGCTTGACAATCTGAAACCTTATAAAAATGGTCATTACCAAAATAACATTCTTCAAACTTATATTTAACCCTTTCTCTGCACCAAGCCTTTTGGAACAAATACAGTGATCTGGCAGAAGATTTGCTAATCTTAATTGTGCATCTCTAAAGCCCCCTTAGCAAACCATGTGCCTTCAATGATGTGCGAGATGGGGCTTCTTGTTAAGTCTGCCACGAAACTGAGGGAACAACTTCGAGGTGATTTCCTTACCTTTGATAGACTCACCCCTCTCTGATTACATTAACCCCTTCAGAAATCACTTATCCTTGTAGTTCATAACAATATTTCTGAAGGACATTTTTTTCGCCTTGGAGATGGAATTGTTTGTATCAAATCTCTGGCATTTTTAAACACTTTTCCTAGCAGAACCTCCCTTGAAGATTTTCACCCACTCCTCCTGTTTCCTGCCACACAAGTTGACCCCTTTAACGCATTAGTTATACAAGTTGGGTTCTCATTTACTCCAAGAAGCATCCTTCACACCAGGCTGACAGTGTAATGGTGTAAATTACATTTAACTGGACTCATGCTGAGCGTAATGCCTCGTGTTGGGACATCTCAGCTTGAGCCAGTATTGCCCCGTAGGCTCCACCTTCCCTCTCTGGGTAATTATTAAAAATGTGGTGTGGCAGCAACTGCAATTGTATTGTAACTCCACAGATTTCCATGACCTCTGTCCCCAAGATGAACTACAAATGTGTATGTGGCACACAGATGGCACTTCCACAGGATATTGACAGTTTATTTCCGCCTGGACTCAGTTAGATGTGTGTACTGATTGTGTTAGCTCTGTCAGCAGTCTCTGATAACACTGACCATAAGCAGTAACTAACCATCATTCATGCTTAAATTTGATACTTTACGACCGGGCCTCAACAAAGATACTAATTATCTTACCCATTACAAAGATAGCTTCCCCAATTATCAGCTTTAATATCATTAGCTCACAGACATTAACCTCCCCCCCATCCTCCCTCTAAAGTTTGATTTGTCCTTTTTATATGTGTTCACTTTTTTTGATTGTATCCCTTTGGTATATATGGTCATGCCAATTTTCTTCCACAATTTGATCTGAGGAAGTGGGTCTGGCCCACGAAAGCTCATCACCTAATAAACCATCTTGTTAGTCTTTAATATCATTAGCTCACAGACATTAACCTCCCCCCCATCCTCCCTCTAAAGTTTGATTTGTCCTTTTTATATGTGTTCACTTTTTTTGATTGTATCCCTTTGGTATATATGGTCATGCCAATTTTCTTCCACAATTTGATCTGAGGAAGTGGGTCTGGCCCACGAAAGCTCATCACCTAATAAACCATCTTGTTAGTCTTTGCAGTCCCCGACTTACGCGGATCCGACTTATGTCGGATCCGCACTTATGAACGGGGCTTTCTCGCCCCGGAGGTCGAGGTAGCGGATTGCTGCCTGCGAGCTCCGGGGCGAGAAAGCCCCGTTCGTAAACTGCTCCGGTGCCCCTGGTCTGCTGGAGACGCCCTGGTCTGCTGGAGACCGTCTCCAGCAGACCAGGGGCACCGGGCGGGTTCCTGCGCTTCTGAGGCTTTGCTCTGGCAAAGCCTCAGAAGCGCGGGGAACCGCCGCTGCTGCCGCTTCAGTCCGGGTGCCTGTGGTCTGCTGGGGACCGTCCCCAGCGAGGAGCTTCCTAGCACTCTCCC